AAAAAGTTTTAAAGATGACTATAAACAGGTAAGAAGGAAAAAACAAAAGATATATAATTGTAATGTATGGAATACTAGATTTGCCTACTTTTCACTTTGTTCAGGTTTTAAAAATGTTCTGCATGTATCAAAATATGACACTCTACAGACTTATACATCATACAGGTGTACAAAAGCTTTTGTTTTCTCCTTGTTTTTTCAGTTTTCTGTGACAATTTTGTTTAGTTGATATGGAAAAGTTTTACTATAGAGTGATATTGAACTATAGTTTTTATTATTATATTAGCACCAACAGTTTACGCAGTGCTTTACAACATAAGGACAGACAATACAATTACAATACAGATTAATACAGGAGGATTCAAAGAGGTCTGCTCGTTAGAGCTTACAATCTAAGAGTTTCCAAATATGTGCCATGTACTAAAATTGTAGCATTACTAGTAAACTGCACTCAAATATGGACTGGAATCTGGAGACAATAATATGTGTTTAATAGTGATATGGTACTTATTAGTTAAAGATATTAAAGGCAATTTTTTTTTATTTAAAAATAACAAACATCATACTTACCTGCTCTGTGCAGTGGTTTTGCACAAAGCAGCCCCGATCCTCCTCTTCTTGGGTTCCCTGCTGGTGCTCCTGGCCCCTCTGTGCTGCCCAGTGCAACCATGGCAAGCAGCTTGCTATTGGGGAACCCAATCAGGCTTTCTCCTGAGCCAATGCTCTGTGTATCCTTTTTTACAGGGAGTGCAGCTTGGCCCCACCCCTACTCACACCTCATTGGCTTGCTAGCTATGATTGACAGTAGGGAGAGCCAATGGTTACCACTGCTGTCTCCACCATTGAGGAGGGAGAGACCCAACAGAGCCGAGTTTCTTGAGCACTTTACTAGATCGAGAAGAGGCTCAGGTAAGTATTGGGGGGACCTGCTGCACACAGAATATTTCTTACTTTCATAAATAGAATGCATGAAGATTTTAAAAACCTTGAGCCTTTACAATCACTTTAGGTGACTTTTTTAACCCTGGCTTTTAAAGGACAATGTTAGAAAAGAGAAGAGGCCACAATCTTGCTGATATGATAAATTTTAATACAAACCTCTTTTTTTTCTTGTGACTGCTCTGTTTAGCCATGGAAACAGTGCCTCAATCTAAATAGTCTGTTTTTCACTTAGACTCGAGATTGCTTTTATGATCAAGTAAAGTAGATTGATAAATCCTGCAGCAACAACTGGATGAAATCTGGTTCCACAGGTTATACTTGAAATACAACAGGTTAGGCTGTGAGAAGTATGGGTAATGGCACGGGCAGCCTGGGCCTGAATCCCATTCAGGATACTATCTGGAGTTTGTAGGTTCTCCCTGTGCTTATATGGGTTCACTCCCACATTTTAGCTACATGCTGGTACCTTAATTGGCTCCTGTCTAAATTGTCCCTCATATGTGTGTTATGTATGCATGTGAGATAGGGACCTTGGATTGTAAGCTTATTGAATGAATACACAGTATGCAAAGCGTCAGTACTATATATAAAATGCCAGTATTAATAAATAATGGGTAGTTTCTATTTACAAAGAAGCTATAGATGGAGGAGACATTTAAAGCTATTCATTTACAAAGGAGGTCTGATCATGTAGGAATATTTTCTGTTCCTTAAACTTGCATTTAAATGAATTGATACATTTTCTATGTGTATGGGAGAAACAGCATATATACAAGATCAATTAATTTCCATCACATACCTATAACTGACCTCTCTTTCAAAGTGATTGATTTTATGATAAGGTAAAGTACACAGCTGGTAATAGCTAATGTTTTAAAAAAAAGTGTTTAGTCCTTAAAGAATAATTTGCCTGTAAAAAGGTGAAGAGCCACTTAGGCCTAAGGGAATATTTGTCAATTTTTATTTCTCTGTAATTTTATAGCTTCCCCTTAATGGATCACATGGGAGATCTTTATTTCTATTGGTTAGCCTGGAAGATGCAGGCAAATTGAACAACAAAGTAATGACACTAAATTAAAGACAGCATTCAGTTACTGTTAGTTGTAAAGACAGTTTGAATATTTACATGGTATAATTGCTTTCCTAGGTTCATAATCAAAATTTAATTAAAGCCTGAAGGCTTTGCTTGAAAACAAATAGGAAGAAATTTTCTAGAATGTTCTAAGTAGAGAGTGCATTTGGCTAAAGAAAAAGCATTAAAAAAACACCTCGAAAGTTTCAGCAACTGGTTTCTGTTGGTTCAGAGTGACATTTATAATATCCTTTTCATCAGAGTAAGACTTGTAAAATTCAAGAAAAGGTTATGAAGTATATGAAACTTACACTATAATGCCAAAAAGTATTGGGATACCCCTCTAAATCATTGGATTCAGATGTTCCAATCACCTCCATGGCCACAAGTGTATAAAATCAAGCACCTAGGCATGCAGACTGCTTCTACAAACATTTGTGAAAGAATGGGTCGCTCTCAGGAGCTCAGTGAATTCAAGCGTGGTACAGTGATAGTTTGCCACCTGTGCAATAAGTGCATCCGTGAGAAGTCCAATACTTTTGGCAATATAGTGTACTTGCAAATGTAAACCTTTAGAGAGAAGGAAAAAAAGATTTGTCTCAGTGCAAAAATTTTATTAAAGTCAGAAAGTGGTGTTTGTTTGTATATCTGTGCACGTGTGGATGCATACAAACATCACAACTCGCAAAATACAAAAACCATATAGGATACACACAAAACACACAAATGTCCTCACCAGAAATTGTTTTCTGAAAACCAGCACTAATATATTTATTAAACCATACCATCTTTGTTGAAAACACACCAAAAAATAAGGAGAGTTGTGGTTCAAGACACTTAAGACACAGGGGGTTCACTTTTGCTGAAACTATAAAACTGAAATTTTGTGCTAAAGATTGTGCTGTTGTCAGATGGCCAATGCAGATGGTAATAATGGTAATAAACACTATTTAAATACTAGGCCACATTTTCAGAGGCAGTGACTGGGCAGGTTTTGTGAAATAAAAAAAGAGGTTTTATTTAAATATAGCATATTTACTTCACTGAAAAAGCCACCAGATTATTGTAGTGACACCTTTCAAAGTATAAAGTACTTAAGCACTTTCCCTAGACCACATTCTGCACAGGAGAGACACTAGTCATCTTTTAATCCAAAAATCAACATTAAAGTGTTTAGGTTTCACAGAGAAAAGCCAGCAAAATATTGTACTTACTATATACACAGTATATAGGCAGTTCAGCTGTGAGAGACCAGGGAGGTTTTAAATCACAATTAAAGTGCACTTTTTTTAGAAAGTTAATAGACACAAATGTTTTGATTGGTGAAGCAATGGATTTGGCCTGCAAACTAAGAATTACAGAGCATGAGTTACCCTGCAGCAAGCAATATACATTTTACAGCTGAGGTCCAGTTGTGATAGCATTATATCATCAAAAAAGGCCAGAAACTTTGAGGTGCAATGCAGGACTGACTGTGTAGAAAATATTACACAGTTTGCATCATTTCAGTGCCAGGGCACCAGAATAGGATAGTAGATGCAGCACAAGATGGTAATAGTGGAAAATCAATAGCAGTGGCAGGAGATGATAATGGTGGCAGGCAAGAAGCAGTGGCAGGAAATAGTGAAGGTAACAGGTCAGCTGTTTTGGCAGGAGCAGGTAATGGTGGCAGGTGATAATAATAGTGGAAGACCAGCAGCAATGGCAGGAGCTGGTAAAGGTGATAGGCCAGCAGAGGAGCCATATTTGTTAGCATGAGCTGAAGGGGTTTGTACTCATTGCAGATCCAAGATTCGTTCACTTTGAAAAAAGTGATTCAGACAGCTTTTGATGTAATTCTCCTTAAAGAGGACCTTTCCCTTTTTACTAAACAGGGGGCAGACAGACTTGTCTTTCTGTCACAATACAGCCTGTTTCACAATGTTCCTTCTCTGACAGCAAATTGGACCTAAAGCAAACCAAAAGCTCCATCTCATATTTCTGGGCAGTGGTTCAACCTGAACACCTAAGAGTCTTTGGGGTCCTTGGATGTACACATCCACTCTGGAAGCCAGATAATGTGAGATCATGTGGTTTAGGTGCTGTATGTAACTACATACAGCAGCCAGGACTGCAGTTTTAAAACTAAATTAAAAGAAGTGCTGAGGAAGCCACGACCACTACTGCCACCTCCTTATAGTGACCTGAGGATAGGAGGCACATTGGCCATTAAGGGGTATCCTACCACGCTCTGGAATAGGGGGCCAACAGATTCTTATGCAGCACCACTTCTAAAGTGGTGCATTTTTTGCTCCTCTGGAAAAGCAGCATGAGATCTGAAATTTTCCTTTGTATTGGAGATCCAAAAGGATTCCCAATGAGTAAGGGTCCCTCAACTTATTAGCCTGAATCCTGGGGTAATTGTGCAAATACTTTAGGATAAATTAGCCCATTTGTCACATATTACCACATATGGCAGAGGACCCCATCCTTGGTGCCTGTGAGGACAAAAGTGTATTACACTATTTCATCCCACTCATGTACAGTTCTCAGAGTCTGGGAGCGGTGAAACATATCCTTAAAAGCCTGTCCCGTGTCCTCCTCCTCTCCACCAGCACCCTAACCCTCCTCTTCCTCCTTATACTTTACCTCAGCTTGCTGCTGTCTCACAGGAATGAAGTCAGTTCTGAAAAGATCCTGCTGATCCTGAGACAAAAGACAGCCCTCCTCTTTCTTTAATGTATATTCATTACAAAATGCAGGAACACCAAAGGAATTGTGTTACTGATTCTCATCTTATGACAAATTACTATTCTGCTCACCCCTGAATGGTGACAAGATGGTACATGCATGCTGATTCAGGTGCCATTGACTTGGTGAAAAGAACCTCAAATCCCTAGAGCCTGCCCTCAATCCACTCTCAGACAAATATGTGTTGATGGCCTGCTGCTACCCTGGTGCAGCCGCTGTTGAATTCACCGTGTGGGTGTATCATACAGTATATCAGGCATTTGTCAGGAACAGGGGCGGACTGACCATTTGGAAACTCAGGCACTGCCTGAGGGCCCGGGGTCAGTAGGGGGCCCCATGAGATGCCCCTGGTACCTTTTTCATAGGCTTTTTTGAGTTTGGGCAAGGACACAGGGGCCCCATGATCCCCTATTGCTCGGGGGCCCCATGAGTTGTCAGTCCACCCCTGGTCAGGAAGCTTGTGTTGCCTCTGAATTTCAGGCAAATACTAAATTTGTATGACTGTCTAAAATGTACAGTCACTCTTCTGCCACAGTACATCCTGGAAGTCAGGTTTAGTAAGGGAAGCCAACAAGTTGGTGCCATTTTGATACACAAAATTGCATAGCACAAGATGGCATAAGGTCATCCACCTCTCAGTCTCCCCAAAAGACCTGAATATTATGGCCAAGTGTTCCCCGTGTCCTGCAAAACAACATGGCACTATTTGTCTGAGCTGTTGCATTGGTTACTGAGAAATACTAGTAGTTCTGGTGAGTTAATGGATGAGGCTATTGAGGAGGGGAAGGTAGAGGTGACTGATCTGTCACTATAAGCCAGTGATGTATACTTCCCAGTCACCAGCAAATTAACTTGATGTGCCATAAAGGAAATGTAATGTCCCTGCCCATGCTTGCTGCACCACACAGTCAGTGATAGGGTCCAGATGACCACAGGCATGTAGCCCAGCAACACAAAGAAAAACAATAGATTACTGGGTGACAAAATGCTAGCATTTAGACTTTAGTCATTAGGGCATTAGTGGTGATTGAGTGAATATTTTTTTTTTCCATTCTAGAAGCTGGGAAAGACACTTGGCTTGTCAAGAATTCTGCTGGAGATGATGGAGTGGGGTTAGAAGACCTACAGCCAGGGTCAATGCTATGTTTGGTCATGCTGACCCTCTTCCCGACATGATGTGCCATAAGCTAGCCCCTTAACCCCTGAAATCTCTTTGTCAAATTTCCATCACTATCGCTTGAGACTGCTTGTTTCACTGGATGCAGATGAAGTGACCTGCACCCATGAGGCAGCTTCAGGAAAATCAGTAGCAATGATTTCTGCCTGTTTTTAAGAAACTTAGCTGCATCCTACACAGACCCGCCTACTTCCCGCTGCTAGTGGTCATGCTCAGCCTCCTGTTACTAGGTAAATGTAGCTGCACCTTAGTCTTCTCTTTCTCCTCCCATTGGCTCCTGTGACATTGGCATCCAGCTGCCTGGCAACGCTGTCATGGCATTAACAATCAGTGTTCTGCTGCTTACCAATACCGAATGCTTGATCCTCCCTCCTTGCCTCCCATTGGCCATGTGGCTGCTGGCACCTGTTTTAAACCTCACAAGCCCTGCACCTGGTGCTTGTGATAGTTTTTACACTACGGAGCACTCTTTGCACTTAAAGATATTTGTCTAAGGACTTTCTTCTTATTCATTTGGACTATTTGAGTTATTATTTATTTATTTTTATGAATGCACATTTATATTGTTCTGTTGTGTAACAACACTCATGGGTTACTATATCAGATTGTATATTAATTGAAGGGTATTAATTTCAGACACATAGCGCAGCACTTTTATTATATTTTGAATCATATTAGTTTATAAGTATATGGATCATGTATTGCACCGTATAGTAAATATATGCCACATTGTTTGTTAACCATTGCTGTGCCTTATTTTTATCCTAATATTATTGCTAAAGCAGAATATACAGACAGCATTAAACCCCTGACAGGGCACCTAATCCCTTTCTACTCTTTTCAGAATGAAAAGCAAATAAAAATGGCTTTAGATGCACTTTAAAGAGCCGCATCCTTTCTCCAGTTTTAGTTCTTGCTTTCTTTCTTTCTTTACTTTCTTTCAACATATTAGAATTTTTTTTTTATACTGCATTATTACAATCTCATCACCTTCACAGTCTCCTCATCTTCAAACACCTATCCCTCCAAGCAGCAAACAATTACCCTCAGAAACCTTCACAACTTGAACCCTGCTCCTTTCCACTCTGCAACTGACCAACTCTATGACAGAATCTCTCCCCTGTCCTGACCTGACCTGGCCACTGCTGTCTATAACAGTTTGCTTTCATCCGCATTCGACTCATTTGCTCCTCTAACAACACGAAGCATCAGGCCCTGACCATTACAACCTTGGCAGACTGACGACGCCAGAAATTTTAAACGATGCGCTGGAGCGATTGTGGTGTAAAACCAAATCTCAACAAGCATTCATCCTATATAAATCTGCTTTCTTAACATACATTTTCTTCCTTTATGCTGCCAAACAAGCCTACTTTGTCACTCTTATTAATACCTTGTCATCCAGTCCTCGTCGTCTCTTCTCTACTTTTAACTCTCTACTTTCTCCACCTCTACCTCCACCTCCACCCAGTACCACTATCACTGCTCACGAGATTGCAAATCATTTCAAAAACAAGATTGACGCAATTTGTAGGGGCATCGCCACTGCACAGACATCCATCCCACTTAGCATACCTTACACTAAACCTCCCTCAACACTTTCCTCTTTTGACCTTGCTACTACCAAAGAGGTCAGTAAGGTTTTGTCAGAAGCCCGTCTCACTACCTGCCACCCTGGATCCTGTCCCCTCACAACTACTAAGGTCACCCTCTTCTTCCATCCTATGCTCCCTCACTCACATCTTCAATCTTTCCCTCTCTACTGGTGCCTTCCCCTCCCCTCTAAAGCATTCGCACATCACTCCCATACTTAAAAAGCCCTCCCTGGACCCCACCAACCTGAACAATTTAAGACCCATCTCCCTGCTGCCATTTACCTCTAAACTCCTAGAACGCTTAGTCTACAATCGCCTGAGCCCCCACCTCACCGACAACAACCTTGTTGACTCTTTACAGTCTGGCTTTTGCTCACTACACTCCACTGAAACTGCCCTACTAAAACTCACTATTGATCTACTAACTGCTAAAACCAATGGCCACTTGTCAGGAATAGACTCAGCACTGGGGGTGGGACTCACCTGCCGTGTGGGCTGCAGTACCAGGGCTGACCAGCGGGTGCTCTCAGCAGCCAGAAGCTCACTCCTTCAGTCAGCCAACACCTGGGGCTGATTGCAGGAGGTGTATTTAAGGAATGACCAGGCCTGTGATCAGTGCCTTGGTGTATGTTTCCCATGAGCCCCTGTACCTTGTATCCTGTGTTCCTGTTCCTCTGCCTATCTGATTTGTTGCCGACTCTGCATTGTTCCTGACCCTGCTGACCATCTCCTGTTTAATCCCTGGCTTGCCTGACCATCCTTCTGCCTGATCCTCTGTACCGTGCTGCCCGTGAGTTACTGAACCCAGCTTGTGACCCTGACTATTCTCTGCCTGCTCCTTCAGTACCTTGCTGCCTGCACGTTGCTGACCTGGCCTGCCTGACTACGCCTTACGCTACCCAGATGATCCATCCATCCTGCACGGATCCAGCCATCCCTGCTCACACCTTCTGCCTCTTCACATCAGGCTTCCTACCTGCATATACCTCTGGCAGATCCCTCTACCACGAGCAGGTGTACTCAGGGGCCGCGACCTGGTTCCTGTCTGCTCCAAGTCCATCCCCACCATCAGGGGCCCTGGTGAATAAGCAGACTGGGACTTAGACTCCGCACCCTGGGGAATCCTGTCCTGAGGACTGCTAGGGGTATCACCAGACGGTCGTTAACAGAACCATATGGCCGGCCTGACCCTTCCACCTCTCCAGCCCTGACAGCGCCTGTGTTCCTGCACATACTAAGATTAGTTGAAGGTTGGTTTATTTACTGAGCGTTGTATATTTGGGTAGCTAATAATAAATTGTATTATTATATCATTCCTGAAGCCTGTTACTTCCCTGTGTCAGTCCACACATTTCTGGTCATACCCGGATCCTTGGACACTGTTGCTTTGGCCAGGGTAATGGGTATGCTAAATGCTCCCATGCTATAATTTATTGGAAAATATCAATTCTACCTGGTTCAAGCTATTATAATTATTATGTTTATACAAATTGTATGTAGCGTCAACAGACTATAATCTAAGATGTAGCAGGAGGTGATACAAAAGATAGTAACTGTGGGGAATGGGCTGATATAGGTGGCTAACATACAGCTTTTAGGTGGCAGTAGGGTAGACTTCTCTGGCTAAATTAGTGTTTAGGGAATGACTAAAGGTGGTCAGGTTAGGGGCTAACAGGATACATTGGTATAGAGAGTTCCAGAGGATGGGGGCGGTCTGAGAGAAGTCTTGGAGGTGAGTGTGGGAGGAGATGATGAGGGACCTAGAGAGAAGGAGGTCTTGGGAGATACAGAGTGGATGACTTGGGTGATACATCAAGATAAGCTTAGTGATGTAGCTGGGGGCAGTGTTATGGATGGCTTTCTATGTTGTAGTTAGTATTTTTAATTTTATGCCCTGGGAATTTTGGAAATGTTGGGGAGGTTAAAGTGGCAAGATTTAGCCAGTGATTTGATGTGGGGCCTAAAGGTAAGGTCAGAGTCAAGGATTACACCTAGCACACTGGCATGCATGCAGAGACCAATTGTTGTGCTATTGATTTTGATGGTAAGCTCAGGAGGATCAGGGAGAGAAAATATTACGACCTGTTACCCAGTGAATTAAAGATGTGAGGAGATTGAGGGGTTGAACTGAGAAGTAGAGATAGATCTTGTTATTGTCAGTGTAAAGGTGGTATTGGAAGTCATAGGAGCTGACCCAGGGAAGAGAGGTGTAGAGAGAGAAGAGAAGAGTCCCAAGGGAAGAGAAAAGAAAGGAAAAAAAGGAGAGGAGATAGAGTTGTAGGTGACACTGAAGCTGTGAAAAGGTGGGCAGAAGGAGAACCAGGAAATTGCAGTCATGAAGGCCAAGTGAGTGGAGTTTATTGGAAGAGTGGGTGGTTAACTGTATCAAAGGCAGCAGAAAGGTCAAAGAGCTTGAGTATGGAGCAGCGGCCATTGGTTTGAGCAGTTAGTAAGTCATTAGTAAAAAACAGAGTTATTTAGCATACTGATCCTTTTAATGCCTCACTGTTTGATCT